GCACGGACGCACGGACGATCATGCGATTCTACTAGCTGCATCTGACTATGTCAGATGAGCTAAAAACTCATCTGCTTGCATCATCCATTCTCACTTTATCCCCCAGCTAGGCACAGATAGACAGATAGTTTGCCATAGATTGTCCACACGGATACAAGGTTCATATAGGACTGGAAAAATTTTCAAGGACTTTTCAAGGACATTTTATCGGAAAGCCAAGGACATTTTATCTGACATTTTATCGGACATTTTATCGGAATTCATACACAGAACAAAACATACCTGGATTAATAACCCCATTCTTAATGACTGTCACCTCTAAAACATACCTGGATCACATTAATAAACCTTTCTAAACGGAGTATTCACGCAGACTCACTGCCACGCACACGTGTCACTCACCTCTCGAACGTGCGTTCCACCTTCCCCCACTTCTTGCAGTCCTGCATGGTCTGATGCTCTGTTCTCCCGCTGCAATTCACCAGTGCAAGGTTAGCACTTGCTCTGCTACACGCACGTGAACTGGCGAGCTCTGACCCCCGTCAGAAGGTCAGTTGTTACCCCTACGGTAACCTATTCTAACATGATCCAAGAGGGCAGGTAGGCAGGCCAAAATATAACTGACAAAAAAGGGGTTGGTCAGGATATAACAAGTGAAACATTACTTGAACCACTCCACCCCAAATAATTCAGAGGCGTCCATTAGGATTGATGTGTCAAGGCATCCCTACCCCTCATTACACAATAGGAGCGGGAATTCAACTATTAAATTCTTTCCTTCTGAATAATCAGCAGTCATCATTCTTGTTGTTCTTGACAATAAAAGTTTCTGAATAGAAGCCTGTTAATAATTATATTAATAGCCACATTAATAACCACATTAATAGCCATATTAATAAGGGTATTAATAGCCACATTAATAAGGGTATCAATAGCCATATTAATAAGGGTATCAATAGCCACATTAATAAGGGTATTAATAGCCATATTAATAAGGGTATCAATAGCCATATTAATAAGGGTATC